CTTAGTGTCTTAGGGATCAATTGTAAGAAGATTTGGTAGGAGTACAGGTGTGAGGTTGACAGTTTTAGGACGGGAGGAAGGATTCCCTAGGACAGTGACCTTGGCGTGAAGTTCCGGGGCTGGTGGAGGCAGCGGTGTCCGTCTGAGCGCTTCCTGGACTGGGGACTTGTGCAAAGGCTGGAGCGGGTCTGGCTTGCTCAAGGCCACATCCAAGAGGCAGTGTGGCTGGGGTAAAGTGGAGGGACCCAGTGGAAGAGGTGCAGGAGATGGAGCCTGCGAAGTGCAGGGGAGCTGGAAGGCCACTGGAAGTCTTCTTGCCTTTGAATCTGAATGCGATGGAAGTGCTGGGAGAGTTCGGAGCAGAGTGACATTATCTAAGATCACTGCCCTATTCGGAAGAGGGACACGCCTGGCCGCCCAGAGACCAGTTGGGAAGCTGTTTGTACTGATCCAGGTGAGGCTTGGACCTGTCTGCTAGCAGTGGGGGTGGTGAGAACTGGCGGTGGGAGTATCGATTTTATCCTGTAAATGATAAGGAGCCATTAGAGGCTTTTGATCAATGAAGTGACATGATTTGTGTGTTAAAAACATCAGTTTGGCAAGCTTGTCCTGGAAGGACTGGAGAGACACAACAAGGAGCTGAGTGCTCCAGCTACTCAGAACAAACACAGAGACCCGGAGGCACGGTTATCCACCAGCCCACGTCTTGACAGGGGACAGGAATCCAGAGACTGACACATTAAGAAAGTCCTTTGTTAGCCTTGCTGAGGAAGTGCTCTGAGTGAGACTGGATCAAGCCTATTCTAGACGCAGTTTGCATTAGAGAACAGTGACCCTTCCCACGCTCTGGGCACCATCTTGAATACTCTACCTGAATTAGCTCATCATGTTGTTTCCGTTTCACAGGTGAGGAAACTGAGGCACTGAGAGGTTAAGCGGCAGGTTTTGTTGGCTCCACCATGGTGAAAAATCCCATTGGGAGATTCAAAATTGTCTAGTTGTCTCTAAAATGTAAAAAAGGGAGGCAGGAAAAAAATCACTGATTTCCATTTCACACAGTGTTGATAATGGCTAGTGGTTAGGTATGGTGTCCATATCCTTTGAGCTGGCAGTGACAGAAACTAGCTTAATAAAAACATAGGTGAGGGTGAGCGGCATTGCAAAAAGTGAGTGTGTGTGTGTGTGGGGGGGTGTCTGTATATGTGTGCGTGTGGAACGATGCAAAAGATGTGACTCTAGGGCCTTAGATTCCATGCACATCTCTGGGCCAGGTGCTGGCATCCGTCTCTTCCACTCCTGGTGGCTTCCACACACGTTGTGGAAGTTTGTCTATCCATATAGCTTTGGAGTCAACCTCTTTCATAGCCACTGTTTCAAAGCAAGAGAAATCTTCCTAGAAGCCTCGATCAAAGTGAGCGATGAGGATTTTGATTTCCTTGTTTGGGGCCTGGAGGCTATCCTAGGACTGGGGCTGAAGGGTCAGCCCTATCTGAAAGCAGTTACCCCAGAGAAAGGAAGCTGGGTAGCGGCTGTGTTTACTGCCACTGGTGGGTTAGGGGCTGGAACATCATCCTCTAGGCCAGGGGTCCTCAAACTACGGCCCGCGGGCCACATGCGGCCAGCTGAGGAAATTTATCCGGCCTGCCAGGTGTTTTGGGCCGCCGAGCCTGTCCTGCCTAGCAGCCCACTTGTCCAGTGTGCATAGGAATTTGTTCATAGTTTGTTTGTTTTTTAATTATAGTCCGGCCCTCCAACAGTTTGAGGGACAGTGAACTGGCCCCCTGTTTAAAAGTTTGAGGACCCCTGCTCTAGGCACTGAGCGGCCTTAGACACTCGGTAGTAGCGGGCTCCCACACTACCCCGCTGTTAGGAGTGTTTGGCCATTCTACCTAAGCAGAAATGTGATTCGCAGCTGTTCTGCATGACCAGTACCTGTAACTTTATTTTATTCCTAAGGAGAGTGATTTAGGGTCCAGAAGCTTTTCCTGGGACTGGAGATCAATTCTGGGTCTGCCCCCAGCGAGGCTGGCAGTGAAGGCAGGTGGCAACTACCGAGAACCCATTACTATTTCTCTAATACGGCTGGTTCCTGGTTTCCTTTTCAAAGTAACTGATCGTGGGAGGAGGGGCTGGGGAGCTTCTTTTGGACCTTGGCCTAAATTAAGAAATATATTTTTAACCGTATTTAAGCACACATATAATTTCATTTACCTAACTCTTGGCTCCAAATAATGAAACAGTATTTACCTCCTATTAAGTCCAATGCCATTTGAATGATGGTGTTGGTAATGGCAAAGAATAGTGCACGTGCCACCGATTGCCAGAAGAACAAACAAATCTCTCTTGGAAGGAGTACCACCAAAATAGTCCTTAGAAGCAAATTAGCGTGGCTTTGTCTCACGGACTTTGGATGTGTTATCAGGAGAGACCAGACCCTGGAGAAAAACACTCTGCTTGGTGAAGTAGAGGGTTAGTAAAAAAGAGGGGGGAATCAACAAGATGGATTGACACAGTGGCTGCAACAGTGGACTCAAACAGAACGATTGTGAGGTTGGATTGTGAGGTTGGATTGTGAGGTTGGCGCAGGACCAGGCACTGGTTTGCTGTGCTGCACATCGGGTCGCTGGGAGTCCAAATCGACCTTGCGTTAGGCAGGGTTCTCTAGAGAAATGAAACCATGCCATTTGTGTGGTAAAAGTAGGTGCCTCGGCTGATATTCGGGTCAGCTTATACTCAAGTATATATTGGTGTGTGTGTGTGTGTCTATAGGTTGATACAGTGAGAAGGAATATAACAGCTAATTAGTCCACACAGCGGTACAGAGGGTGCAGTTCAACTCCAGCCTATTTCTGTGGAACAGTTAATATACTGGAAGTACTTTAACTCACGTGGGTCTAAGGTCAAGGAGCAGACAGCAGAGTCCTCCCTGGGACAAGGCAGGCAGAGTTTGCCCACAGGGAGCAAGCAGCAGGGTGGGACAACACTCAGTAGCGTGGGAGCTTGGTGAAGCAGCTTGGGATAGCAAACACAAGCAATACAGGGGACAGATTCCACTAGCCTCAAGCTCAAGAGATGTATGCACCAGCTGCGTGGCAGAGCAGGTCTCGAAGGAGCCTCAAGCTCTAGTGACATGACCCGTGGGTTGACCCGGCTCACAGGTAGTGTAGCTCACAGGTTGAGGCAGGGAGCTAGCGACCGCAGCAGCATGCACACACCAGCACCTTCTGATGACCAGAGAGCCAGAGAGGCGGGCAGGCCTTTCAGAGCCATTTATCTCTTCACCCTTCTATCAAACTGACCTGATTAATCCCATCTGTTCCTATTTGCCAGGTTGGCACAATAAACCTAACTATCACAGACCTGATGGCGCTGATGAACAACACGCCCCAAACTGTAAACTTATACAGTTATTGTAACATTTTCTATTTCATGAACAGCAGCACAGGTAAAAACATGTACATTTCACTCACAACCCACTAAGGGTGGCAACGCAGAGTTTGGAAACCATGAGTTATGCCAGGAACAAACAAACAACAATGGTTAAAACCACAAACTTGGAATTCGCACTTTACTGGGCCCTCATGACACGGCAGGCTCGGCTCGGCATCCCATCGGCCTCCTTGAACCCTTCCTGCTCCATTTTATAGATGGGGAAACCAGCGCTGTAAGCTACCTCTCAGATTTAAACTTCAGTCTCCTGGCCCCTGAGCCCTTGGATTGTCTCTTGTGTCTTGTGACTTCTGTTCATAGAGCAATCCTGAAAGAGACAAGCTTATTTGATCTGAATGAAAATGTTAAATTCAGGGAGTAAATGCCTGATAAAATTTATGTTGAAGTTCATCACAATGAAGACTTCTTAGGTGACAGTCCCTAAGGGCCCTGTGACTCGGGTGCCTCTGGGCAGGCCCTGTCAGGGGACTTGGCTCTGTCCTATAGGCTCTTTCCCAGGGGCGGCGGCAGCAGCCAGTGCGTTCCTAACAGCGCCCAGCCACCAGCCAGACTGGGCCATCGCTCTCTCTGTGCATCTCATTTGGAATGTAGATCAGGGTGAAGACTAGAGAGAAGGAAATGAGCCAGAAAATAGAAAATTAATACTTGGTAGAGTCGTCATATTTTAAAATTAATTTATAGGGAATGTCAGATAACTGGAGTTAAATCATTTTATCAGCAGGCTGCTCAAGGATTTAAAAATTGGCATCCATCATTGTAAATCAAGCCTCAGGAGCCCCCGGGAATGGTCTCGGGGGATATAGGGTGGGGCAAAATGTAAATACTTGATTAGCTGTGTCCTCTTTCACAGGAAAAGTAAAATATTTCTACATCACATTGCGTGGTAATGATATGTTAAGTAGTAACCGAAGGGGAGATGCTATGTCGGCCCGAGTTCGCCTGCTTTTAACTCCTTGCTTCTTCCCCGTCAATCCTGAGAAACCGGTTGTAGGAGAGACCACCATTGCAATGCCACCGCCCGGCTTGTAGTTCTAGAGACAATCTCCACCTCCTTGTTCTTAGACTCAGGTGGTGCTGCGGGTAGTTGCCAGCCATTTGGCTCTGGTTCATGGCAGCCCCATGTGCCACTGAGCAGAACGTTGTCTGGCCCTGCGTCATGTTCATGATTGCTGGTGTACGTCCACTGTGGCCACAGCAGAGTCTCCGTTCCTTCCAGCCTCGGCTCATCTTCCAGCACTGTGTCAGCCTGGATGCTGTTGTTAGCCTAAGGTTTTCCCAGGCTCCAGTCTGGAAGTAGGTGCCTGATCTTTCTGCCTAGCCTGCCTTGGTCTGGAAGCTCTGCTGAAACCTATCCACCAGGGGTGATCCTGCAGGTATTGGAAATACTGGCGGCAAAGCTCTCCGCTTCCTACTCAAGTAGGATGCATTTTTCCCCAGAAGTTTCAATGTTGTCGTTTCTGCTAGTGCCTGTAATTGCCAGTATCCACGAGTTTGTCCCAGGGGTGCTTAGAAGACCACCCTCTGTAACTTAACATCTCTTGTCATTGCAGCGCTTTGTCAAGGGCGCGTGGTGAGAGTCCCGACAGGAACCCTGGTCCGGGTGGTGGACACGGAGCTGGTCATCCCTTGCAATGTCAGCGACTATGATGGCCCCAGCGAGCAGAACTTTGACTGGACCTTCTCGTCCTCTGGGAATGTCTTTGTGGAGTTGGCGAGCACCTGGGAGGTGGGCTTCTCAGCCCAGCTTTACCGGGAGCGGCTGCAGAGGGGGGAGATCCTGTTGAGAAGGACGGCCAATGACGCCGTGGAGCTCCACATGAGGAACGTCCAGCCCTCAGACCAAGGCTACTACAAGTGTTCGACCCCCAGCACAGATGCCACCGTCCAGGGCAACTATGAGGACACGGTGCAGGTTAAAGGTACAGTCCTTGCATGGGGTCATTATGGTAGGAGGCCAGGCCTTCCTCTGCCACTAGGCTCCAGGTGACTTTGACCAGGCCTCTGGAGCTCTGTTCTGGCACCATCTGTCTAGTAGAGGTTTATTCCCTGACCAGAGTGTGATCTAAGTCAAGGGCTCCAAAACTTATTTGGCCTAACGTACCCTTTTCAGGAAAAAAACATTACTCAGCACCCCTATGGCAATGAAAAACGTTTGTACGATTGCCCATGATCCAGGTTAAAGTGTAAATATCTGCTCTTGCAGCCCTCTTGGGTCATTCCAGTGCCCCCAGCCCCTGCGGGAAAAACTGGTCTAGGTCATCCTGTGGCCAGTCGGTTGGAGTCCGCAGGTGTGGTGTAGAGAAAGCACCTCTGCAGCCATGTTGCCTGCACTCCGTCACCCAGTGGCTGGTCCTCCCACTTGTCTACCGTGTGGTCTCGGGCAAGTCACACACCTGTCTATGCCTCAGCTTCCTAGGATGCAAAACAGCACCAGCCTTCAGGGCAGCAGGGAAGAAGTGAGTACTGGCTGAACTGTGCAAAGCCCAGCAACAGGCCGGGCACTCAGAGATGGTGGGTGACAAGAAGAAGTTGATGGTCGTGATATGATGTTCAGGTTTAGGGGCATCACAGATACTTCAAAGCTTCTGTCTTCCTTTTGTCCCTTTGTGGCTTCCATACCTGTTCATACAGGAAATCACCAGGGGTTGTATGTAGAAAAAGAACTGTATGGTCACTGTCAGCTTCTGATGGAATGAAAAACGGGACCTGGCTGGGAAAATAATCATACCTTAAGTGGCATGAAAGGCTAAGTGCTGGGCTACTAATCAAAAGATTCGAGGTTCGAGGTCCCCCACCCCCGAGAGGTACTCTGGAAGGAAAGCCTGGTGATCTACTTTTGAGAGAGACATCCCCCTCACCCCCACTGCCCTTGAGTTGACCCTGACTCCTAGTGACCCTTCCCAGATAGGGTTTCTGAGACGGTCCATCCTTTATGGGTGCCCACCTCTTCATCTTGCTCCCATGGAGTGTTGGTGGGTCTGAACCACAGACCTTTTGGTTAGCAGCCCAATACCTAACAACAGTGCCACGGGGCGCCCTTTGAAAGATGATGGCCTGCAGTTCTCTGTGGACATGCCTGGGCGGGGTGGGGAGTGGAGGTGTCACCATGGCTCAGAATCGATTTGACAACCGGTTTGGGGCATTTTTCTCTCTTTTTTAATGTATCAGGAATGACCCCCACCCCCCCTTTGTTCCCCCCGTTTTCCAAGTCCTTTTAGATTTGCTTACACATTCAGTTATCTGCACCGAGTGAAGAAGATAAGGGCAGGACATTCCCTCCATTTGCACACGAGGAAATCAGAGAGCATAGGTTAATTACTTGCTGAAAACCACACACAGCTAATTAGGGAAGAGTGCAGAAGCAAACGATTTTAGCTTGGAGTGAACAAAATAGAAATATTATATTGTTATTATTATACAATAATTATGCAGTTATTTGTAATCCGCCTAGTTTCAAAGAGGATTTAAGTCAGCGTAAGAATATATTTGAAGATCAGGGAAGAAGAAGATGGGTTGTAGATGATATAAAAAGAGGGGTTGACCCAGCCATTCATTCCTTTGGTAATGATTTGTACATGTAAATGCCACAGGTCAGACACTGATTCCTCATTAGACTCATGAGGAGAGAAAACAGCCGTTCCCATTATGTAGGCATTCAAAGACAAACTTTCTGCTTCTTCCATTACCCAGCCCTTATTCCTGTAGAAAATCCCAACTATTTATATACGTATATGTGTGTGTGTATTAAGTCCTTGCATTTAAATTGAATAAATTATTACTTTTATAATAGAGATCATGCATCTTCATTGTAGTCCCTGGCTGTTGCAAGCAGTTAACACATTCTGCTGCTATCTGAGAGGTTAGAGGTTCAGGTCCACTCAGAGGCATCTTGGAAGAAAGGCCTGGTGATCCACGTCTAAAATTTAGCCAATCAGTCCTATGGAGCACAGCCCTACTGTGACACACATGGGGTTACCGTGAGCTGGAATCTGTTCAATGGTCACTTGCTGGTTTACATATCCATTAGCTCTGTCTCCTAAAGTCTGACTTAAAATTCTCAGCTTTAAGAGTTAGAGGGTGGCAGGAAAATGTCCCCTGGTTATCTTTCTGCTTCTCCTACATGTGGAAAGTGGCAGTATACGTTAGCTCTCCTTGGGTCAAGAAATCAGATGAATGACTGAGGGAGACTGGCTGGCCACTCAGGCAGTCTCCAACGGGGGCCATACGTGGTCCAGGGTTCCCTGGCCTTCAGCTCCACCAGTCTTGCAGCTGTGTATCCATTCATTCCCTGAAGGCTGAACTGGCCATCACAACTGAGCTGTGTTAGCCAAACTCACAATTGATGCGTGTACCCGGGTGCCAGTGTGTTCGTTTTGCAATGGTTCTAAGAGACTGATAAGGTTAGGTTTCAGCTTTCTCTGGAACATTCCTATCCCACAGATATACCTTGAGCATCCTTGTCATTCTTAGGTACTTCCCAGGTTAAGCCACAGGCAGCTCATACTGCTCCTTAGGGTTCCCAAGACTATCAATCTCAACAAGAAGAGACAGCCTATTCTTTCTCCTGTGGAGTGGCTGTTGAGTTTGAACTGCTGACCTTGAAGTTAGCAGCCCAAATGTTTAACCCACTGCTCCAACAGGGCTCCTCACAGTCTCAGAAGGCCGCCTCTTAGGTTTTCTAGGCTTCCTACTTTAGCCCCGGGTCTTAACATACTATTGTCAATTATTGCCCAGCGATTTCTGAAGGCCTGGCATTTCTAAGTGCCAGTACGTTCCCTTGTTATTAACGTGCTTAACCCTCACTTTGAACCCTGAGGAGGTTCAGTGGCTGTCCTATTTTCAGAGATAAAAAAAATAAGCCACAGAGGCATAAAGCAAGTGGCCCGAGGATGGCATGTCCCCAAGGTATGAATAACAGGGAGTTTTCCCCGCCTGATTCTAACCAACCTGAGTCCACTCTGACACATGGAAGCACCGTGTTCTGTGTTGACGTAGAAGTGTGAGAATTGTGGATCACTAGGGCTTTCCTTCCAGGGGTCTCTGGGTGGACTCGAACCGCCCACCTTTTGTCCATCAGCCAATCTTAGATGTTTGCACCACAGGGTTTGATGTGTGCTGCCTCTTTACTTATTTACTTTGGTTTGTGCAGTCAGAAGTCAGCTTCCGAGATCTGCATATCAAAGCAGCAAAGCTAGCCCATCAGGGCATGAGAAGGAGGAGGTACATACACACCCAAACCCACTGCCATTGAGTCGTTCCCAACTCCTAGCCACCCCGTAGGGCAGGGTGGATCTCTACAGGACCAGATAGCCTGGTGTATCTCCCGGAGAGCAGCTGGTGGGTTCGAACTGATGGCCTTGAGGATAGCATCCCAGAGAGTAACCCACCTAGGCGCCTACACCAGAGAAGGAGGCGGGAGTTGTTTGTGGTGGCCGGATCAGTCGTGGCTCAGGCTAGAAAGTGGCGGGTCCTTGTCCGACGGTGGACCGTCCGTCTAACGCGGCTCTGCTTTCCGCCCACAGTGCTAGCCGACGCGCTGCACGTGAGCTCCAGCCCGCAGCCCTCCCCGGCCCTGAGCCTGCGGGAGGCCGAGCCCTTCGAGCTGCGCTGCGCCGCCTCCAGCACCTCGCAGCTGCACACGCACCTGTCGGTGCTGTGGGAGGTGCACCGCGGCGCCGCCCGGCGCAGCATCCTGGCGCTGACCCACGAGAGCAGGCTCCGCCCCGGGCCCGGCTACGAGCAGCGCTACCACAGCGGGGACGTGCGCCTGGACACCGTGGGCAGCGACGTGTACCGCCTCTCCGTCTCCCGGGCGGTGTCGGCGGACCAGGGCCTCTACAGGTGCGTCGTCAGCGAGTGGATCGGAGAGCAGGGCGCCTGGCAGGAAATTCAAGAAAAAGGGGTGGATGTCGCCACCGTGGTGATCCAGCCAACAGGTGAGTTTCAGGAAAGAGCCAGGCTTAGATGCTAATTTTCTTCTTTTTCATCTTGGCCGCGGGGTCCTCCTCCTTTTCTGACAAAGTGGTACCTGCCGCTCGTGCGAAGTCCTCCCTTTGGAGGCGAGGGAGAAGGGTGGAATTGGGTGTATGGGAGGGCTGCCTTTGTGGTGGGCACTATGATTACAGTTGTGTTCTGCGGTTGCATTTTATCCCTAATCTCTTTCCCCGGGAGCTGTAGCATAGCCTATAATACTAGGACAGTACTTCCACGAAAAGGTTAAGTGTCATGGTTTTGAGGCTGGAGTGAAGTTAATTTAAGCCTGCTGGCCAGAGGGGCTCTGGGTGGAGCTGCCCAACCCCCTGCTCCCAGGAGGTGTCCGTGTGGGGTTTCCCCGAGTCTGGGATCAGCATGTCCCCCACCCCCAGCTGCTGGGGCTGTGTGAGGTGCCGCGCTCAGTTCCTGCAGCCTTCTCTGATCATGAGCCTCCTCTCCTTTCCCATGTGCCCTATGGCCCTGCTAAAGTTCGTGGAGGAATGGCATTCACAGGTAGTGGGATTTTTCCACGGACTTTTTGATGACCGCTCCTGTACCCTAGGGTTGGTCTTTTGGTTGGATTCTCAGGAAGTCATTTGTGAAATCTCACTCACTCCCTCACTGTCATGGAGACTCCCAGCAACCTTATAGGACTAAGTATTACTGCCCCCCTAAGGTTCTGGGACTTTGCATCTTTACAAGAACAGGAAGCCTCTCTGATGCCCTTCGAGAGGCTGGTGGGGTTGAACTGCTGCCCTGTGGTTAGCAACTCAAGTGTGTAGCCTATTATGCCACCAGTGTGAATTGGCCCTTTGAAAGAATACCTTTACTCCAATTATAGGAACAAGTAAGAATATATAAAATGCCGTTTAGAAGGGGGTGGGGAGTGAGGAAGGAAAAGAAGCCGTTGTTGAGTATAGCCCAACAAGCACCCGTGGAGACCCTACCAACCGTAGTGCTCTGTGCCAGGCCCGGGGTCAGGGTGCTCCGGGCGCTTTCCAGCCTGGGAGCTACCTGCTTCAGCCGAGGCAAAGTGGGGAGAGGCCGATTCAGGGCACTGCATCGCTGGGGTTGAAGGGCTGTACTCGTTTTAGGGGCATCTGATAGCTTCAGACTCACTACTGTAAGGTCGATTCTGACTCGTGGCAAGCATATAGGACAGGGTAGAACTGCCCCTGTGTGCTTCCCAGATTGTACTCTTTATGGGACTAGAAAGCCTCATCTTTCTCCTACTGAGCAGGCTGGTGGTTTTGAACTGCTGATCGTTCAGTTAGCAGTCCAATGTGTGACCACTATGGCGCCAGGGTTCCACCAATTGCTCTAACACCTTAGAATCTGTTTTCTCCAGATATATATAATCCACAACCACACTGGATTAACTACCTCTTTACTTAGCCAACTCCTTCCTGAACCTTCTCTTGCCTCTAGTAGATGGCAAGCCCAGAAGACAGTGGTACTACACTCGTCTCCCATGGGGGCCACTCCAAGTTTGATTTCTAGCCAAGTACACTACCTGTGCAGCCATTGATCATCTGTTGGTGGAGACTTGTGTGTTGCTGCGGTGCTGAACAGCTTTCGGGGCAGATGCCACGCTGGTATAGACTAGGAAGAAAGGTCTGGCAATCTACTTCCGAAAAGCAACCTTTGTGCATCCAGTGGAGCACATTGGTTGGATTCCATTGTGCCTGAGGTCACCACATGTCCGGACTAAGTCCACAGGCGCTGTGAACAACAGGCTGGCACAGGGTGGCTCGAGCAGCATTCCAGGGTCTCTGACCCAGGACAGCATGTTAGGACCAGCCAGACCAGCCCACACAGGCAGCCTTCATGCTGGCCCCTTTCAAAAGATGCCCTCACATCCCTTTTGGACCTTCCAAAAGAGAAAGAAGAGGGTGACGAGGAACTTGGAGGTCAGGTGTAGGTGCCAAGGCGAGCTCTTCAGTTCTTTTTCTCTGAGCTGAGGCTCTCCTCACTTTCTGTCTTCTGTCAAGGTGGAACTTGAACGTGACTTGAAATGCTGCTTGAAACATTGTCGGGCTTTGAAAATATTCATGTGACAGTCATTTACTCCAGGGCTTTGGACGCTGGGCCTTTTCTGAACTAGACACCGGCCTTTCCTGTGGGCTGGTGGGAGACAGCAGTTGGTACTAAATGGCTCTTGCTCGAAGCTCAGGATGTGCCCCCGTGGGAATTCTCTGGGAAATGGTTATTTGTCATCTAAATAATTGTTCCCAGAGCATTGCCACAAATTGAATGTTTTTCCTCCTCTGATTACAGATGCTCAGGGTGGTGGTGGTGGTTATTTTTATTTTATGAGGCTTTCTGCTTCTGCAAAGATGGTACAGCCTCGGAAATCTCACGCAGATTGCTGTGAGTCAGAATCAACCCGATGGCACTGGGTTTTACAGACAGCAAAACGTTGGTAAGAGAGCAAGGGAATGCTGAAATGCTGGAACCACATCTGCCAAGTGACTGTGACACCAGATCTTTCAACGTGGCATCTAAAGATGGCCTACTTTTAATTATCCACACTAATGAGAGAGGGCAGTGCCACGGGTAATCCCCAAACCATCATGTTTGGGTTCCAGAAGATGTGCTTTATGCTTATCTTCTTAAGGTGGGTGTGTCTTACGGGAATACATGATGGTTCAAGGACAGTACCTTTGTAAGACGTGGCTCATAAGGAATACTGTCTGGGTCCTTGTCTCATAAGGATTACTTTCCTGGCCCTTTTGTTGAGAATTTTGCTTCTTATATCAGGAGGCAGTTCACCCCCACCTGCTACCCTCCTGCTGACAAAACGCACTAGTCAGAACTAAGCTATGCCTATCAGTCTAAAACCACCCGACGCATATCCCTCACTGGGAGAAAGTCTGATTTTAGGTTTCCGATGCTCACCAGGTTCTTATCCAACAGGAGTGTCATAGTTAAAGCTGAGTCCCTGGAGCAAATCCCCTGTATTTGAATCCCACTCTGCGATATTTTAGCTGTGTGACCTGGTGTTAGTCTGGGTTGACTAGAGAAACAAATTCATAGACACTCACGTGTGTAAGGAAGAGCTTTACATATAAGAGCAACTGAATATTGAGAACACATCCCAGCCCAGTCCAGATCAAGTCCATAAGTATGATGGTAGCCCATATGTCCGATACCAGTCTATAAAGTCCACTTCAGACTCACGAAACTCGTGCAATGATGCCAAACCAAATGCAGGAAAATCATAGGCCAGTGGGTGGAAAATCTTGTGGATCCAGTGATGGTGTAAGCATCTCAGCGCTGGCGTGGGTCTCCATGTAGCTCTCCCCCTCCCCCAGCTCCAGGGCTCTGACTCCATCAGTGTGTCCCCATGTGGTTTGTCTCCCAGGGAGGGAGGGAGTGTCCCTATCTGGCCTCCAGTGAGCTATTTATCTCTGTGGTGTCTCCAAATGAGGCCATCAAGATTGACAGGCTGGACTCTACCCCTCCACAAGTTGACACCAGATTATGTAACTGCCACCAGCCTTCAGCCATTTACTTAACTTCTCTGTGCTTGGTTTCTTCATCAGCATCAATGAAGATAATACTAGTAGGTAGTTCCTAGCGGTGTAAACTTTGTCAAACACTTTGAACCATGCCAGAAGTTTAGTAGATATGCATGTATATGCTGCTATTGTTTAATATTTAAATTAGTTCTATTGTATTAATATTAATTTTTCCTTTAGTGTGGTAAAATCTATATGACAGAAAGGTTCATGATTTTTAGGTGTGCACGTTAGTGGCATTAATTATATTCAGTGTTCTACCCCCATCACCACAAACTAGTCCCCACATATTTTCATGATCCCCGTCAGAAAGTAGAACCACGAAGTAACTCGCCTTCCTCCTGCCCTCTGTCCCTGGCAACCTCTAAGCTACGTTCTTATTTATTTCTGACTGCTACTAAAGCTCCTTTCTTCCACTGGTTGCTGATCTGCCTGTCCTACCAGTGGAACCATATAGCATTTGTCTTTTGCGTCTGACTGACTGCGCGCAGGGTAACGTTTTCAAGTGTCACTCGTGTTGCGCCATGTATGTGTACTTCCTTTCTCCTAACGACCCGGCAGCATGCCATTGTACCGCGATTGTTTGCCTAGTCATCTGTTGATTGAGCGCTGGTACCATCCTTATGGAAGAAACGGAGCTTTTCAAGAAGGTCTTCACTAAACATATGCTCAAGTGCGTACCCTGTTCAAACCCTTTTGACTGGACTCCATAAATTAGAATTTCAAAATGGATTGTCTAAAGCAGCAGTTCTCAACCTTCCTAATGCTGCGACCCTTTCATATAGTTCCTCATGTTGTGGAACTGAAGAACCCCAATTATAAAATTATTTTCATTGCTACTTCATCACTGTCATTTTGCTACTGTTATGAATCGGGCGACCCCTGTGAAAGGGCTGGTCAACCCCCAAAGGGGTCGCGACCCACAGGTTGAGAACCGCTGGTCTGAAGGGAGGGCTGTGGAGGGGACAGACCTAATCCAGATGATCCAGCTGTGTTCGTTTTTCATGTTTAAGTGCTGAGGACAGTCGTGGCCAGGAACGTGTCTGCGCCTGAGGGAAAGGAACTGGACCTGTCCTGCAACATCACGACGGACCGGACGGACGACATCCGGCCGGAGGTGACGTGGTACTTCAGCAGGACGCCGGACAGCACTCTGCCCGGCCTGCACGTGCTGGCCCGCATGGACCGGGACTCCTTGGTGCACGGCTCTCCCCACATTGCCCTGAGCCACACGGACGCACGCTCCTACCACTTACTGCTCCGAGATGTCAGCAAGGAGAACGCCGGCTACTATTTCTGCCACGTGGCACTCTGGGCACCCAGGCACAACAGGAGCTGGCATAAGGTGGCCGAGGCCATGTCTGCCCCCACTGGTGTGGATGTGACCTGGCTAGGTGAGTGGTTTGGAGAATGGCTCTTGGTTCTCTCGGGCTTACTCCTCCTCTGGGCTGTCTGTGCTAGCCGGGGTGCGGTGTGGCTTTGCATGGTTCCAGCATCCTTTCTATCCGTGCTGCATACTGTAGCCTGGCTGGGTCCCAAGCTGGGGATGGAGGCAAAGCCGGTGGAAATAGAATCTGGCAGGCCAGGGAAATGTGTAGATTCCGTGGCCTCGGTTGTCTCAATACCCTCATTTGAGAGGCTATAGTCTCCTTTTGTTGTCGAGAACTTTTCGGGGTTGGCGCAGAGCTGAATGGCTTTGTGAAATGGCTCTTTGTTGGAAGGAGAAAGCTGCAAGTCTCCCTTCCCTTTCCGAGACTCCAAGGTGCTCTCTAGCAGGAGCTGGTGCCTTTCCAAAGCCGGGAGAGGAAGAGAATTCCTTCCATGAACGGAAAGCAGTGTTTCCACCAACTGCCCTGGCATCCACAAATGACTCTATTTGCAGTTAGCAGCTAACCGCCGGAGCCTTCTCACTTTCCTTTGGGGCTCCCTCGCCTGTGGGCAATTGCACAGGTGCAGAAGCCAGGTGGCACTCAGATGTGGACTACCTTGCCAGCTGTGTCCTAGCAACATGCCCCCTGTGCAAAGGTCCTTGCCATATCCTAATCTTTTCCCGCCATTCCTTTCTCTCTCTTTTTTTTTTTCATAGATGTTTGTTCTCTGGACTAAAACTACTCCTACTTTTCCTGATTTTGTTGAGTCTTGCATTTAAGGAGACCGGCTGGTGTAGTGGGTGGCGCGTGGAGCTGTTAACCACAAGGTCACAGCAGGTTGAACCCACCAGCACCCCACTGGAGCAAGATGAGGCTTTCGATTCCTTTAAGGATCCACAGCCTCAGAAACCCAAAGAGCAGTTCTACTCTGTCCTGGAGGACTGCTAGGAGTTGGGATTGACTCAGGGGCACCGGGTTTGGTTTCAGGTTTGGTCTTGCAAGTCGTTGGGAAGGCTGGGGTTACCGGCCTTGTGGAGCGCCGCACTTCCCTTGTCCCTTATTACAAAGCTGGGGGCAGGCCTGCCAGGCAAATTCTTACCTGATCTGAGCTCATCTTTCTCTTCTCCTGTGAGTGTTAGGGGCCCAGATGAAGGCATGCAGCCGTGTGGAGAGCTGCTGTCACATCAGCCCCTGGCTTGGGGTGATCTCAGGCACGAAGGAATGGCACTCTGCCTGGTCCTGCACCATCCCCACGCGCTCAGACTGCTGTGCTCCGCTGGGTTTTCATTGGTTGAATTGTAGGCGCCGATGGCCAGGCCTTTCTTCAGAGGCCATCTTCATCTGAAAACGGTTCAGCCTCAGAAACAGGGAAGCCACCCCGGCAGATACATGTGGGCCATCTGTGGACACGTTGCCATATTGTGATTATTAGGAGATAAACAGATCTTAAGGAGCTCCAGTGGCATAGTGGTTAAGTGTTTGGCTTCTAACTAAAAGGTCAGTGGTTCAAACCCACCAGCCACCCCACAGGAGAGGGCTGTAGCCTCTGCTCCTGTAAAGATTCCAGCCTTGGTTGGAAACCCTACGGACAGTTCAGCTCTGCCCTGTAATGATTCTGAATGATTCAGCAGCGTGAGACAGCAACCACAAAAAACAGATCACTACAGGCCAAGAAATAATCTACTCCTTCGGCTCCTGATAAGCATCCTCTCCCTCTGACCCCCAGCTCACATTTAGCCCGTCCTTATCTGGTGTCAGAAGGCTCTCTGGAGTTCGTGGATGTTCAGTGTTTGCTGGTAATGAGCCCTGAATATTCCGCAAGCCTGAGGAGTTGGCAAGTTGGGAGAGGGAGCAGGAGAAAGAAGAGTAGCGAGAGAGAAAGCAGAAAGTACAGTGCCATCCAGATTAGTCAGCGAGTCCTGGCGGCACCCTGGTTAAGTGCATAACTGCTAACCCAAAGGTCAGCGGTTCAAACACACCAGCTGCTGCACGGGAGACAGGGTTGTGGTATGTATACAGATTTCAGCCTTGGAACCTGTGGGGCTGCTCTGCCCTCTTGATGGGGCTGCTGTGCATCGGAATAGACTGAAAGGCAGACCTCCACGGGCTGTTAGTCCTCCCCGTTAGCAGAGCGATCTGCCACTCTCTGCAAAGCAAAAGGAGCAGGGTTTATCTGGCAGCGTTTCTTCCTCCTGTCTGAGCCCCGCAGAAGACACTCACTAGGAAGTACTGAACTGGAACAATGCTGGCCCAGCGAGAACTCTCCTTAGCAACCTTCAAAATAAAACAGATGTTGTCAGCCCCAATAGAAGGGTTTTTTTCATCTCTGGAGCTGAATTTGTTTCGCAGCTCTGATCCTCAGCGCATTGTGTGCGGCTGTCAAATCCCAGTGCTAACTCCTCCTGCCCATCCCTCCACCCCCGGCACTTCGGAGTCTGAGCGGGAGCTGGTTTTTTATTTTATTTATTTATTTTAGAAAGTGTTGTCTGCAGTCCCGTTTGAGGGCCTCTTTGAAGCCCTCGTGCCTTGATCCCAGCATACCGGGAGGGAGACTCAGCCCCGCCAGAAAACAGGAGGGGAGCTCCTGGGAGGCCCTGGCCTCTTTCAAACTGGAAGGGATTGGTTGGTGGCTGTCTTCTCCAGAGAGCCGGGAGAAACAAAGCGGTGAAATTGTGGGAAAGGTTCAGTGAGTCTCCCGTGCTTTTTTGGCGTGGTCCCAAAACCATTGCTAGGAATGGCACAGGCTTGCCTCTCCCTGACTGGCGTCATAGAATATATGAAACCCTTAGGGACTTCAAGTCGCATTCTGCATGTAATCAGCACTCAGTAACTACTGGTTGGATGGGTCAATAAGCCAGCACCAAAATATGGATTGTGTTAAAATATGTGCACAGGAAAACCAGACTTGCAAAGAAAGCCATCACGTTCCACTCATAGATCATCCGCAGGTCTCACGGGAGCCTGGCTCTCCTGGGAAAGCGAGGACGTCCTTCTCCTGTTTCCCGTGCTCAGAACGCCCCTCTCGCCGTGCCTGTGATGCAGTCCATTGCAGCTGCTTGGACAGTTGTCAGGAAGTGAGCTGTACACGAGTACAGCAGCAGTGTTTGCAAGGCCTCTCCAGTTGGAGGGTCTACCCAGAATCCCGTGGGCCCAGTCTGAGGCCGGGTGGGTGTCTCTATGTGGGTTCTATGTATGTCCATTCCGGGGGGTGGGCGGGGGTTCAACACCAAGTGCAGCTTGGCGCTGGGCCTGTTTGAGGTCACTGAGAAGTTGCCAGACCAGCAGGAGGACGGGCGACATGCCAAACACCCTCGATTGACATAGGTGGTCTTAGTCTGTGTTGAGTATGGGGTGTTGTCACCGAAGAGCTCTTCGGAAAGCTGACTCCTCTTTCACGTATGACACAGAACTCTCCGGTGTGCTGCCTGGCAGGCGAAGAATAACGACCATTTATCGAGTCAGCCTAGTGGAGGCCTAGAGGCTTTATGTGCCTTATCTGTTTAGTCCCCACAGCAACCTTAAAGAGGTATGGCCACTGTCTCCATTCAAAAACAGCCCTTGTAAATATATAGTCAGTTTATCATTGTCAGGGTCAGAACTTAGGGAAGGAACTGGAGTTCATCTCGGACTGACACAGTGCCAGCCAGGGCAGTTGGGACTGGCAGGTCACTTCTCAGATGGCCTCCTCACACTCGTGACTTGGTGCCCCTGCGCTTCTCTCACCCACTCTCTCTGCACGTGGTGCCTTACCCTTCAGAGCCTCTCTCCGGGGCATGATGTGCTGAGGGCAATCACGGCGTCTTGCTTGGTGGCTGCCTTCCAAGAACCAGGAAGTGGAAGTTGGCAGGCTAGTTACAAGCTCTGCCTAGACTTTTCAAAAGTCCCTTCCGGTGTCCTCTGTTGGTCAGAGCCATTACAGAGGCGAGGCCACCTAAAGTCAAGGGAATGAAGACATCATGTCTTAATGGGAGAGCGGAGAGGCTGTAGTGCAGAAATGCCTGTAGACCGGGACATATTGCTGTGGCCGTCTTTGGAGAAGAGCATTTGCCACAGTGCTTCATGCTGGGCTGTTTTCGTTTTTTATTTTGCTCAAGAGATACTTAGGATGGCTTGCAGAGAATGATAGCCCAGGGTTCACGTGTCCCACGTATGGTCTTCTTCTTATGAAGAAACATGTTTGGTCTTGGGAAGGAGCTTTGGTTTCTGGCGCTGGGGAAGCACGCATGTAACACAGCGTTTGCCAATCCCACATTCTCCAGACATACAAGTTAGCGATGGCAGTTACATTAATCACCCGCAGTCCTTGCCAAAGTTCCCATTACCAGGCTCAGAAACTCACTCTCCCCAAACAATGACTCCTTCTTTCCCGCCCCCCTTCCTGCCCCTGCTAACCACTAATAAGCTGTGCTCTCTATACATTTGCCTATTCTTGAATAGGTACCGGGCCCCACCCACCCACCCCCACCCCGCCCTTTTTTTTAAAGCAACTATTTTATTATAGTTCGAGATCATGGGGGTCAGAAATTCGGGCAGGACTCCTCTGGGCTAGCCTGTCCCAGATGGCAGTGGCCTCAGTAACTTGGTGTGGTGGTCAGCTTTCGGCTGAGCTGGGCTTGCTTTGGCATTTGGCACCTCGGCAGAAGTAGCTAGAAGACAGGGCTCCGCTTGGGCCCATCCTCTCTGGGTTTTCACTGGGCCTCTCATGGGAGTCTCCAGCAGCCTGACTGTCCAGAATTCAGACCTCTTTCTAGAGGCCTCAGAGCTCTTAAGAACTAGTGTTGCAAGAAACAGCAAGCGGAAGTTGCTGGTAAGATTCATGTTCGAAACTCTAGCGCATAGGTTCCCAAACTTATTTGTTCTGCTACCCCCTTTTCAGAAAAGGAAAAAAAAAAAAAAAGCACTGGGCACCTCCTTGGCTATTAACAATGTTCTTTATGTAGACTCTAATTCAGGAAGAAGTGTTGTTTACTTTCTTGGTCCCTCTGGGTCCTTCCAGCAGCCCCCAGGGGGCGATATGGCCCACT